GGGACGGCGCAGGAGAGGAAGGCCCTCTATGAGGTGGATTGATTCAGTGACTGGGATAATTGGGATGGGAGTGTCAGAGACGGTGCGATTGGCACAGGACAGAGCAGAGTTTAGGGCTGTTGTACATAGGGTCGCTATGAGTCGCAGGCGACTCGACGGCACATAACAACAACAACTAGATACCAGGATCTTAGATGGCTGAAGCGGATTGAGGTAAAAGTGCCCATCAATCCCAATTCCTCCCCAGGCTGCTGAATCACTGGCTTTCAGGGAGTCCTCTAACAGGAGTCTTCTCACCTGCTGTCATGGGAACGACATCAGAACGCAAGAGCATCTGGATGCGGCCGGCCGGCTTATTCCCGATCTTGATGTCCATGTACACCTGAGGATTGGACCGTGCCTTTTTGGCCATGGGCTCTCCCTAGGTGCAGAAGAAATTACTAAGTTATACAAAGCTCTATGACTCCTCAGGTACAAAGACAATTCTTCTGAACACACACCTGGAACAGTTAGAGTAAACAAGCAGGGAGTCCTCTGTGATGAGCTGTTGACACAGAAGGTCTTGGGCCCTGATAGGGCTGTAGAAGGCAGGGACAAAAGCCACCACACCCAGCTGGACACAAATTGCAGAAGGCGCCAGACTATCCCACAGGCACGTTATCTCAGCAAACTCACCCCTTGCTTAGATCTGTACTACTGTCACACAACAACAGTCTCCTGACCCATAAAGCACAACCCTTAACCCTTTCAAATCCAGTCCAAGTCAGTCTACCACACTTTATCTGCTTTATCTCCTCTTCTCTATTCATGTTCAAAAGGTGGCCAAACAGAATCAAGGGCCTAAATACTCAAAAGATAATGGAGACCATGGGAGCCCTGTTTTGTGCTTGAAGTGGACAAGGCTGACTAGAATAGATTTTTCAGTACAAACTCTCCCACCTGCATGTCCTTTACCTCATCTGCAGTCTGGACTGAGAGTTCATCAAACTAATGTACTGAGCTATCAGGCTAAGTATTAAGGTTAGAAAATAAATGGAGATCACTGCCCTGAAAAATTATATATTGTCAAATCTAAGCAACAGCACAGATCCTGGGAGCTTAAAATCGTAACTCCATTATTTACTAAGTGTGCAGTGCTGGGTAAGTCATTTCACTTTTTTGTATCCCAGGTCTCCTTATCTGAATTGGAGATAACAACAGTACCTAATTCAAAGGATTAGGATTAATTTTTTTAATCCTAATTATATTACTGGAAGCAGGAGTGGCATCTACTTCCTAAACAACATGCCTCTAGAAACTCTAATAAACTAGTTACAGAAAGGCTTCAGGCCTTTGGTTCACAGGGTTGCTATGAGTTGTGCAATCATCAACAACAACAATTAGGATTAAATCTTTGTAATGCACGTAGAAACAGTCCATAGCAGCAAATAAATACTATATGAGCATTTGTTAAGTAAGTAATTTAAACATAACACAGTAAATATAAGGTCAGAGGGGGACCATAGGAGCCCAGAAGAAACACTTATTTCATTCAGTTGGAGTCAGCAAAAATTTCTGGAAAAGGAGGTTACTGAGCCAAGCTCTGAAAAATGAGGAGTCAGTGAGAAAATACAAGGTAGAAGAGTGTTTTAGACACATGAGCTCGTATGCATAAACAGAGCAGTCTAGGGAACTGCACAACTTATTTCTAGAGTGTGAAATAAGAATGAAACGTGCCACCTTTGCTGGTGACTGTTAAGTGCTGTCGAGTCTAGCTGGACTCAATCCTATAGATGAAGGGAGTCCTGGAATGCTGGAGGAGAGGGCTCTGTAAAAAAGTCCTGTGCTTTAAAGTGCCCTTGAGCTGCTAAAGATAGGAAGAGCACAGGCTAGGGTGAGGAAGTTAGGAAGTCACTACAATAATTCATGTGAGAAATGCTGGGGCCCAAGCCAAAACAGCAATGGCAGGAACAAGACAGGAGAGATTCAGAAAGAATTAAAGGATAGTCAGCAGGATTATCCATATGTTAACAATGAATTATAATGGGAGGCTTAAGAGGACACTGAGGTTTTTGTTTTGAATAAATGTGAAAAATAGCAAAATTAACTAATACTGGACATCAGAAATAACAGATATAAGACCAGAGTTTAAAGGAGATGAGGAAATTCATTAGCGATATGCTTTGTTATTTTAAGGGGACATTTTCATACAAAAATATGACCCTCAGGAAAGATCACAGGGCAAAGGATAGAAATCAGGAAGTCCGGGGAGCTCTGGTGGCCTAGTGGCAAGGAGCTGCAACTACAATCCCAGAGCCACATGGTTCAAATCCACCAGATGCTCTGCCGGGAAAAGGAGGGACAATCTCCTCCTGTACCAGTCAGATCTGATTTGATGGTACACTCACACAAAAATAAAAAAATTTAAAAAAAATACTTAAATAAAAAAAAAAGACATCAGGAAGTCCTCATATGAGTGATTGTCATAACTTGAGACTGGAGATAAAAATGGCACAAACTACACAAGGCAAGTGTGAAGGAAAAAAAGTTGAGGGATAAGTAAAGCAATCAGAGAAATAGCCCATTTGAAGGATGGGAAGATGAGGAACATCCCTGGATTATCCTGATACACAGTGGTTAGGATGATGTGCAGCGTAGCAAGAGAAAGGGCCAAGGAAGGGAGAGCCTTCAACCTGCTCACAGATGAAGAAGACAGTGCTTCAACCTTATTCTGCCTTCCTGGAGACAGAGCAGGAAGATAGGAGCCTAAGGCCAAAGCCTTTGGTGCTGGAACAAGAACAATCAAGATAGTGGTGATGATGACATGCAGTCCTCCTATCCTTTCTCACCTAAGAACTCTCCCTTGTTCAACATAATTGATACCAACCACATACAGAGTCCTAAAAGATACTTTTCTACTTAATTCACCCTACCCGACTTACATCAGAGCTGCCCGGGTGGAAAGCATGGGCCTATCCCCTGAAGTACAGCTTTCAAACCTACCTCCTGAGTTTCTGCTTTGGGCGGCTCTAGCCCTTCATCCTCTTTATTCTCTTCAAGAGTCTTCCCTGAAAATTTCTTCAGCCAATCGTCATCTGACCAAACTAAAAGGAAGGAACCAAAGAAATGTTAAAGAAAGTCAAGCTATTGGTCAAGTGCTAAAGAGCTATCCATTCTGTCACTGCTTTAGTCAGCAATGGGGATCACACTATGCAGCTCTCACAATCAGAATCCCTCTTGGGAACAACCAAAATAACAAAAGTTCTCACTGAGAATTATAAAACCTCCAGTCCAGTTCTCAGCGACGGTGAATTAAAATAAGAAGACCTAAGCCAATTCAAATGTGAAGTCCCAACCCTTGTCAAGGCCACAAGGAGACAATTTAGATCCACACACAAAAGCAGGCCTTTCCCAGGGGAACATGCCTCTAGCTTTGCTGAGAAACTCAAACTTTATTTCCACAAAGGTGTTTCCTTCTCATGTCCACCAAACACTACTCTTCAATACTATGGTTTTTAACCCCATAGCAGAAGTTGTTATGGTTTGTTTGAGACACTGAGTCAGAACCAACTGATAGCTGACCCTACAGCAAATTTTCAGAGGCAGTAAATCACAAGAGAGGAGACTGCCCATCTTTCTCTCTCATAGAGCAGCTGGTAGATTCCAGCCTTAAGCCTCTGATTTGGCAGTGCAACAGGAGGAAGTAGGATAGCATAAAATAACAAAAGTACAAACTGCTGGAAAATATGTGGTTGTTCACTCACCTGGTCTGGAAGAACCTTCCTTAATTCTCATTGGTTTGGCCAAATTGACTCGAATTGTTCGCCCAAAGAGTTCAGATTCATTCTGAAAGATTGAAATACAACTCATCTTCTTTCTTTAACTCCATTAGGGTAAAAGAGTCTTCTACTTACTTCTCAGAGGTCCATGAACTGCTTGAGATTAATTCCATGCCTGAGACCCTGGACTCCACAGGCTCAGCACAAACCAACCACATTAAGTAGCCTGAGCCACCACATGCTTCATTCTTTCCCAGCAGCAACAGGAAGGCCTGGACCTGCATAATCCTTGGATCTCAGTTCAGGACTTTCAAAAATTGTAAGTATAGCTATCAAGTATATGAATCAACTTTTAAAAATTATCAGTTTTGAACTAAAGATAATCAGTATCATTGACTATAGAGTAGCATATGACAGCAGAGTAAGAGAAATAAACAAAATATATAAATATTTCATTATTCAAAAATAGCTGGTACCAGAAAAATGTAAGCAGATTTTTTTAAAAGTCTGTTTTAGACAACGTGAATGAAGGATAGTGTGAAACACAATGTATACAAGCTTTGTAAGCAAACCAGCATTTTTTTTTTAAGTGTGTTTTGGGCCTCGACATGAAAATGATGAAATGTAAGGATACTTAGGTAGTAAGATTTAGGCCTATAATTACAGCTATATGCTCTTATTCTCAGAAACAATGACGAAACAGGTACTAATGTTATTTCTAGTTGGTTGTGGGTAAAAAAAAAGATAGCAAATGGTATCTTTATTTCATATTTAGTCATGAAGATAATAAAGATAAAAAAGAGGGAAAGAATATTCAGGGATCACCTTCAAAGACGGCTACAGTCCACCTTGCAGAATCTGCAAATCTGTTACATTACATGGCAAAAAGAATTAAAAGAACAGAAGAATCAATAAGTTTGTTATTCACCAGACTTTAAATTAAGATTATCCAGGACTAATGTAATCACAAAGATCTTCTCTATGTGTGGAAGGGAAAAAAATGCACAAAACCCAAAATTCATCGCCTAGTAGTCAACCGAGATTCACAGCGATCCATGGGAGAGGGAGAAAAATCAGTTTCAGAGTAACGTAGAGTAAGAAAGAATCAATCAGCTACTGCTCCTTTTGAAGATGGAAGGGGCTACAAGCCAAGGAAAGTAAGCAATTGAAGTTGGAAAACATAAAGAAAAAACCTCCTTTAGCAAATCCAGAAGGAATAAAACCCTATCAATATTGCAATTTTGGCTTAGTAGACCTATTTTAGACTTCAGACCTCTAAAACTATAAAATAATAAATGTGGGTATTGTTGTTGTCATTGTTAAGTGCTGTTGAGTTGACCACAACTCATAGTGACCCTGTGAATAATACCTCTGAACCCTGCTCTATCCTGGGCCAATCTGACTGCCTGTCTCATTACCCCAGTCACTGAATCAATCCATTTCATCCAGGGTCTTCCTCTCCTGAGCTGTCCCCCCCTCCCTTCCAAGCATGACGTTCTTCTCCAAGGACTGGTCTCTCTTGGCCACATGCCCTAAGTATGTGAGACAGAGCCTCAAAATCTCTGCCTCCAAGACCAGCGTGACTTTATCTTCTCCAGGACAGACCTGTTAGTTCTCTTTGCAGGCAAATCACAAGCACCGAAGTATGGGGGGAGTGAATCGGTTACTTTTGTAATAGGAAATATCTTTCTTCTGTTTTTCTGGGCAAAATATCTGTCTGCCAGATATGGCTCTTAAGCTGAGCATCTAAATTAAGGCAGACAAAGAAGGGCTGACCATCCACTCCCGAAATAAGAGGGCTTCAAAAACCTTATGCACAATAAAGCACACACTTAGACTAGTAGGACCCACCCTCCCCCAACACACACACACACACACACACACACACACACACACACACACACACACCTAAATATACACTCTGTTGGTTCTGACCCACAAATCAAAGGTCCCTTCTAGAGACATAAAACAGTCAGAGAGAATGGTTATGGCAGAAGGGTGGGATTTATGGTAATATTAAATGAGGAGGAATTTCTGCAAAAGAATTCCTTTTACAAGTGGCCAATGTGTAGAAAATGTGTTCTAAATTATGACAATTTTTGCTCCCTAACGCTTTGAAAACGTGGAGAACGAAAACCAACATATGAATGAAGGTCCTAGTACTATAATCTAACATCTATTAACAGATTCAGTAGAAACAAGATTCTCAGGCATACCATGTTGTCGATAGCTGCTGCAGCATCCTGCCAAAAGAATGCAAAGGAAAAGTTCATGACTGCAGTTCATTCTTTTTCTTGTTATTGTTCAAATAAAAATTCAACAGCACTGCACAGGAAAAATGATGTATTTTTCCTTCGTTCCTACATTGTAGGTATTCAATAAAGAGTATACACACACTGCCAGGCAGTACTGATGTTTAGTGTAACAATGCCTACTCTGGTTATGGGGAAAGAGAATATACAGAGGGGATGAGAACTAATAATGCTTGGCTACAGCTTTATCATAAGAGCAACATTACCTAACTCTGCATTCTAATGACATGAGGGGAACGTGGAGAAAAATTCAATGGATACTCCTTCAACCAACTTATCTCTTTGAAATTGTACAAGAAATCCATCCAAATGGAGAGTAGCACCTTTAATAAATAACCAATGGAATTGTTAGTAAAAAATTACACAAGGAAAATGTCTTACCTCTGCCAACTCAAACTCAACAAAAGCAAATCCTCGATGTTTTTCTACAAAGCAGAAACAAGTCATTAATATGTGGGCCAAGAGAAGGAAACGTGCCATATCCAGGCGTCATTTAAACTCCGATTTCAGATTTTGCTTGTTTTATTCAACAAAACTTCTACAAATACTAACAATATTGCTTGTTTTAGATAAACACAGGCAAATAACAGGGAACTCTGGTGGCCTAATGGCCAGGGAGTTGTGCTGCCAAACTAAAGTTAAGCGTCAAATCTACCACTGTTCCATAAAAAAACGATAAGCAGTCATCTCCCATGTGATTTATAGCCTCTGAAAAACCACTCCCGGATCTGCTATTAGCTCGTTACAACTCAGAGGTAATGAGATGAGTAAGCTAAATAGTGAAGAAAATCTTTTCAACTTTGAGGTACAGTTGCAAGGAGGGACTGTCCTTGGAGAAGGACGTCATGCTTGGGAGGGTCGAGGGACAGCACAGGAGAGGAAGACCCTCTATGAGATAGATTGATTCAGTGACTGGAGTAATCAGAGTAGGTGTGTCAGAGACAGTGAGATTGGCACAGGATAGAGTAGGGTTTAGGGCTGTTGTACATAGGATTGCGATGAGTTGCAGGCGACTCGATGGCACATAACAACAAACAACATAATTCTAGTACTACAGAACTGAAATCTTAAGTATTTTCATGCATTTTGTTAACCTCTGTTACCAAAATGGGAATATAACCTGCTGTTAACCTCTGTTAACCAACTGGAAAATGGGTAAAATGGCACAACTACTATGGAAGGCAGTTTGCCATCTCCTTAGAAAGATGGGAATAGAAATGTCATTTGATCCAGCAATCCCACTAATAGGTATACACATCAAAGAAATGAGAGCCACATGGCGAGCTCTGGTGGCCTAGTGGCAAGAAGATGTACTGCTATCCAAGAGGTGCACAGTTCAAATCCACCAGATGCTCTGCTGGAGAAGGAGGAAAAATCTCCTCCTGTACCAATCAGATCTGATTTGATGGTACACACACACAAAACAAAAAAATAAATTAAAAGAAAAAAAAAAAGCAAAAGAAATGAGAGCCACAACACAAACTGACACAGGCACAACCATGTTTCATACAGCAGCATTTATAACAGCAAAGAGCTGGAAACAACCCAAGTATCCATCAATGGCTGAATGATGAAACTATGGTACCCTCACAAAATGCACTATCATACATCACTAAATTGTGATCAGGAATTAGTAAAATACTGCACAATATGGATTTCAGTAAGTGACACAAGTCAGTCACAAAAAACCACTGTCATAAAAAGCTAAGAAAAGTATACACACACAATCATCTTTGTTAGTTATTAGAGACGGCAAGGGAAGGCAGGGGTATAAAAATTAATAAGACAGATATAGTTGGTGAAGGGAAAAGCAATATACAATACAGAGTTGACTGTTGTAGTTATGTGCTATCAAGTTGTCTGAGACTCACAGTGATCTCTGAACTCTGCTCTATCCCAAGCCAGCTCCACTGTCTCTGACACACCTACCCCTACTACCTCAGTCACTGTGTCAACCCATCTCATCCAAGGTCTTCCTCTCCTGCGCTGTCCCTCCACCCTTCCAAACATGATGTTTTGCTCCAGGAACTGGTTTCTCCTGGCCACATACCCAAAGTAGGTAAGACAAAGCTTAAAAATCCTCGCCTCCAAGAAGCAGACTGGTTTCACCCAAGATACGCCTGTTTGTACTGTTTGCAGTCCATGGTATGGTCTATACTCTTCTCCAGCACCACAACTCAAAAGCATCAATTCTTCTTCTGTCATCTTTGGTCACTGTGCAGCTCACTGATGTATAGCAAGTAATTGTGAAGACCATGGCCTGAATCAAGCATACCTTAGTCTCCAGAGTGACATTGTGGCTCTTCAGCACATTTTAGAGGTCCTTGACAGCAGCTTTCTCCAGAGCAATTAGTCTTTTGATTTTTTTTATTTTAATAATTTTAATTAACATTTACAGAGATTTTGGATTTCCATTCATTCATTGCTGCACTTCTCTCCCCGCCCAGTTCGCTTCTCTCTTTGAAAAGTAATAGGAAAAACTCCCTCCCTGGTACACAATCCCTCCCACACCCTTCCCACCGCCCCAAGTACATTAAAAAATACAGAACGCTTCACAAATTTGCATGTCACCCTTGCGCAGGGGCCATGCTAATCTTCTCTGTATCATTCCAATTTTAGTATATGTGCTGCTGAAGCGAGAACGTCTTTTGATTTCTTGACTGCTGGTGCCAAGAGTGATAACTGTGGAGCCAAGTAAGCAGAAATATTTTTCTTTCCTTTTTTTTAATTGTTAACAACCTCAATCTCTATCTATCATGGTGCTAGCAATTGGCCCAGTGGTAAGAATCTTTTATTTTTTTTTAGATTTTAATAAAGTTTATAAAGAACTTAGATTTCCATTCATTCATTGTTGCACATTTTCCTCCCTGTGCCCAGTTCACTTTTTTCTTTGGGGAAAAACGTTCTTTCATTGTTACATAGTCGTCCTATCACCACTTTAATATGTAACTCTTATTCTAGGTTCTTGTTATGCCAAATAACCTAATCATATATTCCTTTTATAGTTTTCTCCCTCAACTGTTTCAATACCATATACATTATTTAAGCCCTTTTCTTAGTTTTTCCCTAAACCCCATATCAGTCCCGTTCTGTAACAGTGACATTATGCAGTACTTGTCTTTTTGTGACTGAGATATTTCACTCAACATAATGTCCTCCATGGTCACCCATTTTGTATATTACATGAGTTGTTTTTCAGTGCTGCATAGTATTCCATTATGTGATATACCACAGCTTCTTTATCCATTCGTTTGCTGATGGGCACTTGGGTTGCTTCCAACTCTTTGCTATTGTGAACAAAGCTGCAATAAATATGGGTATACATATATCTGCTTGGGTGGTGGACATGGTTTCTTAAGGGTATATTGCTAGTAGTGGAACTGCTAGGTCAAATGGTATTTCTATTTCCAACGTTCTGAGAAAGTGCCATACTGGCTTCCATAGCAGTTGTACCATTTTACCCTCCCACCAACAGTGAATAAGGGTTCCAGTTTCTCCACAACCTTGCCAGCATTTGTTGTTTGCTGCTCTGCTGAATTTTGCTATTCTTACTGGAATGAGATAACTTACAGTTGTTCTTTGTCTTCTTGATGTTGAGCTTAAATCTATATTGAAAACTACAGTCCCTGACCTTCTGCAGCAAATGTTTCATGACCTCCTCTGTTTCAGTGAACAAAGGAGTGTCATCTGAATAATGTAGGTTGTTGATGAGTCTTCCTCCAATGCTGATGTCATAATCCTCCTCATAAAGTCTAATCTCTTTAATGATCTGTTCTACATATAGATTCAAAACGTATGGAGACAGGATGCACCCCTGATACACTCCTTTCCTAATTTTGAACCATGCAATGTTTCCCTGTTCTATTCTGAGGACTGCTTCTTAGTCCAAGTATAGGTTTTGCATGAGTACAATCAAGTATTCTGGGATTCCCATTCTTCTCTATATTAAAAAACCTCAAATGCATGGCTTTTGACTTGGTGACAATTCATAGCAGCCCTCTATCAGAGTTCTGTGGTGGTAAACTGCACTAGGATGACTGCCCATCTTTCTCTTGTGGAGCAGCTAGCAGATCGGAATCGTCAGAGATGCTGCACAGCCTCTGGGTTAGCAGCAAAACTCCCTATGTTCTACACAGTCAGTAGGAATGCCTGATTAGCAAATTGGAACCACTGATTCTAAAGGAAGGAAATACGTGGTTAAGTTCCTACAAGTTTCTCGCCACATCTCACCAACAGATAAGGTAACCCTGTTTTATTTGTTTGTTGTTAGCTGTTGTCAAAGTTAGTCCAACTAATAGCAATCTCTTATACAACAGAACTAAATGTTTCCCAATCCTATTGCAGGTAGAGCTGTTGTGATCTGTGGGATTTTCATTAGACAATTCCTAGAGAGTTCATTCCTAGGAAGCTAATTTCTAGAGTTCTGCTGGCCTAGTGGTAAGGAGTTGTGCTTCCAACCAAAAGGCAAATGGTATGAATCCACAAGCCACTTCAAGGGAGAAAGATGAGCAACCTCCTCCCATGGGATTTACTGCCAGTAAAAACCCACTGGAGGGTCAGTCATTAATCAGTTCTAACACCAACGGCCCCCACAATTCCTAGAAGTAAGTCAACAGGCTTTTCTTTCTAGTCTTGGTCTGAGCAGTCTAGTGAAGCTTGTTCAACATTACTGTAACAAATATATTTCTATTACCAGGGTGGGGGCTGTGTATGTAGTGCATGGATCAAAAATTGAACCTAGGTCCCTACACGTTGTTGTTAAGTGCCGTCGAGTCGTAGGCGACTCATAGCAACCCTCTGAAGGAGAGTCCTCGACACTTGGGTGCCTTTCATCCTCTCTCCAGAGGTCCCTATATAGAAGGCAAGAATCATGAACCATCACCTTCTTCTACTTTGCCCTTATTGTGTTTATACAGATACTGTACCTAACTGAATATATACAGTTTATTCACTAACATTAAACTCAGCCAACAACCCTACAACTCACACCTGGATTAAGTTTCCCTAACAAAGGCATTTTCTCAGTACGTCATATCACAGTCTTCTTCTGCTTATTGAACCACAAAAGAAAAGACTTTAGCACTGGGTTTGGGAGCAATTTTTAACCTCAAAATCATAAAAAAAAGCATAAAGGTGTAGAAAACTAGGTATAAAAGAGACTGAAAAGAGCATTAGCTTACACTGTGATAGCTGAAGAAGGCAGAGTATCATCCTGATTCACCTCAGATGAGAGTATGTGAAACAGGTGACCCAAATGAAAGAACTCCACATCAAAGACTTTGAGGGTATGAACAAATTTTAGCAAGTGGGCTATAGACAAATATGCCATCATCAAATTATGAGGCTCAACCACATCAGCCGTACAGATTGCACATGACTTAAGTTTTTCCCCCCAGATGCTTTTCTTAGCATTAGGAATCTGAACATGTGACACTGAAAGGAAGTACCTGTTTCATAGTCCAGAGGAATCTGAATGTCTGTGATATCTCCAAAAGGAATGAAAGCAGCGTGAAGGACTTTGTCATCCACCTCCTCCGCCAGTCCACCTGCAAAGACATCAAGAGCCTTTTGAGAGACTGCCCTCTCTGCTCTGGAACAGCTGCTACATCATCTGCTTAGTGCAACAGCCACAGAGAGGGGAAAAGAAGAGGCCCCATAGCCTTTGCGGTATTACAAACGGACTAGTGAGGTTCACCACTCTCTCACTCTTCAGAGCCTCACCCCTGGCTACTCTAATAGTTTCTAAACAGACTTACAGCTTCCAACTCTACATTGATCGCCAAGAGAATGAGTCCACGAAAGTGCAAAATCTGACTACAATATTCCCCTGCTGTTTATCAAGACTCCCCATTATCCACAGGATAAAGTTCAAATTCCTTAGCATAGAACACATGACCATCACAGTTCAGTCCCTGGTCCCCTACTGTTTGTTCCTAGCCGCTAAATGTCAGACCTCTGGGCTTTTGCTGCTTACTGCACTCTATCCAAGGTCCCTAGGCAGTGCGACAGGTGTGCATCCCTGGCAACCTTGTTCCTGTAAGATTACAATGAGGTAAAACCAAGGGAGAAATTGCAACGAAGAAAATCCTAGGAGGAGTTCTCTGTAAGCACAGTCACGGAGTCAAGGTGAGTTGGAATCTACACCAACTAACAACAAACTCTTCCCCTAGGAATAAGTCTTGTCGCACCTCACTGCTTTGCTAAATCCTTATCTTTTCAAACTCGGTCCTGGCTCCACCGCCTCAGGAAACTTGTTCTCACCTTTCTGGCTAGAAAGGTGATTTTTCCAAAATCCCTAGGCCGTCCCTCCCCATCACTATCCATCACGCAATTCCTTCTTAACGTTCACCAACTCAGGTTGTGACGCTGTTTCCATAATACCTTGGCTACTCTATCCTTCAGCGTAGGGGAAGGTGTGGAAGGAATGGGTGCAAGTGCTTGGGATATGGTTTGAGACCACAGTAAGAGGCGTCACCCCTTATGCGGTCCAGGGTCAGAGGGGAAGGGGCTTTGGGCAGCAAAACGATCACTTCGCAGGCGGCGCGCACATGCCGAGGAGAAACAAACACAGGAGAGGCGGCTTCGGCTGCTGCGCGCTGCCTGGGCCTGCGGCAAGTCACCACCGCTCCCAAGCCGGCCACAATCCGAGCTCGACCGAGAAGTCCCTGCCTCTAGCCCCCTATATCTCACCCACGTAGAGAACCCGCTTGGAGGCGGCCATCTTGCTTCCCGGCTGTTCCGCCGGAAGTCGGCAATTAAGCCCCGCCCCACCACCATTCGGTCACGCCCCCTTCGTGGAACTGACTGGTGCAGGTGGTAGATGCCGCCAACGCTAGTCAGGTGGGTGGAGTTCCTTGCAGTTGCTCTCTTCACAGTCATTCTAGAAGGCAGTTTGGCCCTTCCTCAAAAAGCTGAACCTAGAAATTCCATATGACCCAGCTATTCCACTGCTTGAAATATACCCTGAGAAAATGAGAAGTGAGGCACAAATGGAAACGTGTACACCAATGTTCATAGCAGCGTTATTCACCATCGCAAGAACATGCAAACAGCCCAGATGTCCAACAACAATCGAATGGATTGAGAAATTATGGTGCACTCATACAATGGAATACTATGCAGTACGCAGGAGCAATGATTTTGTAAATTGTTACCTAAAGTGGGTGGGGACTGGACAGGATTATGCTGCGTGAACTAACTCAGTCCCACAGAGACAAATATTGTATAAAACCATTACTAC